AGTTGGCCAGACAACGAATGGTGTAGATGTTGATAATGGAGATGCTTTGATACCGATGGTGGCTTTTTGTGGGATTAGTAGCACCTTTTTATATACTTTAGCGTATATGGTATGTGTTTTTGTTCGCTCATCTCGTATGTCTACAGATAGTTACGTCATTACACAGTGAGGAAGTTTATGGTTGAATGCCATCAACCAAAAGCTGGTTCTACAAAATTAATATAAGATGTTATAAGAAAATTAAACAAAAGATTAACGAAACTATAACTGGCTGCTGAAGATGAGTACTAAAAGAGAAGTGTAGAAAAAAACCCATAAAATGCAAAATTTAATTCATTTTAATGAGCCGAAACTCAGAGTCTTTTCTGTTGGCGCATTGTGTAATTATATTCTATATAAATTATACAGTTGTGCACAAGGAATTTTTTACTTTTTGCAAAAAATTGTTTTCTATTTATTTCTTAAATAATTATTTTGTTTTATAAACAATACCATTCAATTTTTTTGAAATAATTGCAAAAACGTCTTATCGTAATAAAGACAAATCCTCGTTTAATATCTAAAGCAAGCAGATATTAATCTATCTGAACTTATCCAAGGCATCAAGTAAATTTAAATTGAAAATATTCTCTAAGCCTCCGGGCGCCAAGTGGAGATACCAAGTGAAATCAGGTTATTCCTCACCTAATTCTCATTCTCGCCACCTGAGATCATCCGCTTCATCCTAATACCGAAAACTTCATCGCATACTTTCAGTAGGAAACGAAACTCACCCGAAATATGCTGAGGAAAACATGAGCAACCACCAACCTACCGCTCAGCCAGTTTTAGAAAAGACTTTTCCGACCAGTTGAAACAAAACAGTGATTCAGCCAAGACTATCGTCTGAATTCCTTAGCTACTGATTAGGAAAATATTACGAGATGCAGAGCTGAATAGAGAAGGAATAATCTTCTATAAGAGTGTTTAACTGCTGGCATATGCCTATGATATTGACATCATTAGTCTCAACAATCGTAACTTGAGTTCTGTGTCTTTCTCAAGAGTGGACAGGAAAGCAAAAATTGGTGCGAAGACATGGACGATGGCAATATCTCATGAGTTATTATAAGGAATTTCCTCTTTGCGAATAACAAATATCGCAGTCGATGGACTGATGAGATGTACGACAGATACAGCAAATGGCGAACGGCGAACAAAGAGACAACGGCTACGCTGGCTAAGTCATGTGGCTATGAATAAATATACACCGGTATCGAAGGTTTCCGATGGAAGACCCGAGTAAGCAGAGTAAGAAAAAAATGTTCCAAAGGATGGCATGTATGGCATTCTGTTCTTGACTAAGAAATAATCGCGTAAGCCGTTTATACTTCAGTAAAGAAGAACCAGACTAATGAACTACTATCAAATAAAGAATTGGTATAATTTCATATTTAGAATAGTAAATATTATTTAATTAGAAAATCTACTTTCTCCCTCCAGGACACCCACTCTAACTTCTGTTTAATTTGTCAAAATTCCTGAGAAGAACGAATGAGAAAATTGCAAGAAACTCAATAATAGAGTTGTTTGTGGGACAAAGGCTACATCCTCTAAGCAAAACGTACTTCAATATCAGAAGCAGCCAAAGAGGCTGCTAAAATCTACAAGTACAAAGCAATCTTTTATTATATACTCTGCTAGTCACGCCGTCATAAGAACTGTTGATGAAAACAGGGAATTTGCAGGGTTTTTATGGGTGTCGGTTTAATTCTCCATCATTTACTTCCATTAACCCTTTTATTATATTTCGGCTCCAATAAACTTTGCTAGCCGAGATTAGCTCCCTAATCACCTTCAATTGTATTAATACGGCATTTCCATGAGAGCCCAATTACGTGTTTAAATTTGCCATACAAATTTTTGTGAGCGAATTACAGTAAAAGTGTGGGTATTTCGTTCTCAATTGCCATGTGAATTACGACCAACTCGATGCCTTCTCCAATTTTTATTTGAATTTTATAGAAACCAGCTGACAAATCAAAAGAAAATAGATAAAAATCATAAAAGAAAATACTAATACACAAAAATTTATTTCAAACCAAACACAAGGTTTATATTAAAGAAGAAGAAAATGAGAAATTATTAAAGAAACTGTTTATTACATTACCAATTCAATTCAAGATTTTGTTAACGTTTGCTAAAATCATTCATTTTCCCTGAATTTCCAATTAGTGCAAGCAAGCATAACCGAAAATCGTCAAATTGCGTGCCCTGTGAATGGGGGTAATTCGCATTCGTAATTGAGAGAGCAAAACACGTAATTGGACAGGAGTGGAAATGCCGCATAAGGAAGGTTCAAACTCTTACATCCAATAAAATTATTTCATTTTGACACAAATAAATAGAAAAAAGCTAAACAATTAATTTTCACCTTAAGGATTAAAAAAACTTAGTTATAACTAGTGACTTTCCAATTACAAATTATTATTAAAAAATTCAACTTTTGAAAATTATTTTTTCTAATTCAGTAAAACCCCAAGCATTCTTTGCGCTTAAAATATATTTAAAGTACTCTTTCAGTGCACTACACCTACATTTTAAATAACATTTTGGAAACAAATACAATTTTAGGCGCTCTTTAAGTAATTAAGCTGCTCAGTTAAAAAAAATGTATTTTACATATCCGATGAGACTAACATTAAACAAAAGTTTAAGCTCAAGAAAGCTCAAAAAGTTAAAAGCGGGTCTATTATTAGTTGAATGAGCTTCAGTAAATATGCTTTCTATATAGCAGTTATTTAAAATGTTAGAAACAATAGTAGCTTAAAAGCTTCGAATAAAAGCTTTGTCCAAACGGTTTTGCTTTTGCATGCTTAGACCTAAAAAGCAATTTAGATTAATTTACATATATAATACATAATTCAGTAGCGGGTCGTTTGATTATAAATGTAAACATTATTTGTATAAATATGCGTAATAATTGCAAAAATAGCTTAACTCCGTTTAATGTGTTGATGTATACATATTATAAAACGATTGATTTAAATATTGTGCATTTGTTGAAAAAACAAATTAATTTTTTTTTTTGTATTATTTTATTCCTGCTTGTTTTAAGGTTTGTTTTAGGAAAAATAATTTTAGGCAAACTACGCATCATATTTCTACAAAAGCAAAGACGAAGGGCTTTGATTAAAGACTATTGATATTTTAGTTCCAAGACCCATAATTTTTCTATGGATCCACGCAATAGCAGTAAGACCAATATTCATTTACGGAGCGATGCCGTAGTGACCCAGCTTCAAGTGCTAATGTCATAGGCAGGGCTTAAAGATGTAGATAAAATGGTACCGGTGGTGCACTGAGAAGTACGCCGAGTGAAGCTCTAAATGCAAAACTCAAAATCATGCCACTGGACTTGGTGTGACATATCAGTCGATTCGACGGCAGTAAGTTCACTGCATTTAAGAGAATCTAATCAATGACCACTCAGCTATTCGCAACTGAAATTATTGGATAAATATGATTTCATACCAAGCTACAGATTGATGTGGCCCAAAGTACTTTAGAAAACAAATTCTCAGCAAGACAGAATGTAAGAATAATTACCACACTCCGGGACCTAGCCAGGAAATATACAAGTATGGATCAAAGCTTATGGGCAGATTTGGCAGCGGTGTTTCTTTAGGAACCCTACCATAGGCTACACTACCATTGCGGTGTCTTTCAAGCGGAGGCAGCACGACGAATCGAATCTACCTTTAAAGATAAAGACAAGCCACAGAGCTCACTTAAACTAAATTCCAAAAATGTACAGAAGTGTCCCCCCACAGGGATATCAAGGCAAGCTGTAAGGCGTATGTACCTACTAGGCAAGATACGGTCAAGTAGATATTTCTTAAGGTATATGTAGAGGCTGTGCCAGGATAGAAGTAAACCACAACCCGCCGCAAGTTATAATTATGATAAGAGGGGATCACGAGATGTGTAAACATTAAGAAGAGAGAAATTCCGAAAGTAATAGAAGACCTGACAGACTATTGTCTGATAAGATGGCACGCAGGTAGGCTAAGAGCTTCCTATAGATGATGACGCAGAGTTCACAAGCGTGATGAAAGGAAAGAAGCGGTCGCACATCTCTTAAGCGAGTATCCTGCTTTAGGCAGTGGTGGGTTTTGGAGCTCAGGAACGCTACTGCTCTATGGTCTGTCGAAGATAGCCGACATCAGAGTCAAGGTATACGGGTATCAGGTCTAAGGGTATGCGGTAGCTATTTATCCTCTGCAAAGCAATCTAAATTCCTACTCATAAAGTACGTACGCTGACATCCATCAGACAGGTCAGCAGAGTCGACCAAATCAATTATTGCCATCCAACCTTGGAGAATTTGAAAAAAATAATTTTGAAAAGAAACGTATTATTAATCTCAACTCATTTCATGTCAATGGTATATACCACACCACAACCGCAATTTGCGGATATGAAGAGCTCTAAAACTGTTTATGTTTTCGGTCCATGATTATTAATGATTTTTTAATCACGCCACAATGATTGCATAATGAGTGTTCCCTCGTGTATTTCACAACACAAGGTCTACAAATATGGTTTTGATTTATCTCAATAAAAGTATAAATTTATGCAAATTTGATTCGGTTTGCTCTTGCTTGCACCTGCTAATCGGATTTTTCCACAACTCTCAATAATTCTACGAATTTAAGCGATTTGTGTTTTCATTGGAGTAGTGAAGATAATAAATTTGACTGTCTGTGAGTTTTGTATTCTGAATACGAGTTTTTCTAAATGAAACCAGTCTTTGAACTGTCTTACTGATCAGAATGCCATTAAACGGATTTTTTACACAGAATTGGGGAATGAAATGAATGAATATATGTATGTATGCGAGAAGAGAATGGTTGAAAAGAGATTGTAGGAAGTAAGCGTTGAATTTGCTGAAAAATTCCCGAAAATAAAAACAAAAGTTCCCCGTCGCGCGCCAATGAGTAAGTGTGCGATTATACACGTATAAGCATTTTGGAATTTATTGTCATAAAAAAGATAAATAAAAAAGATCGTAAACAATATTTTGGCGAATTAGTTGACAATAGCTAAAAACTACAAGCTAAAAACTTAACAACAACAATAACAAAAATTTTAGTCGTTTAAAAAATATATGTTTTAGAAAAAACTTTGAATAATCAACTAAACTCATACACACTCAACAATGCACATACCCTTTCAACACTAACACGCACTTGACATACAAACAAATTTAAATTTAAGCTTAAGTGTGCACGAGATAATGAAAATAAATACTTTGAAAAAATACTTTTATTTTGTCTTTTTTTTTCTACTCCATGAAAAATGCACAAAAGGGTGCCAAGAGGTCACTGACAACACTCTGACACACGCACTGATCACTTTTGCCTACACCAACAACAATTATACCCTGCGCCAACTGCGACCGCCTGACATAGTTTATGCACAAATACATATAGACACCAACTATGTTCGTAAATATGTAAGACGATGACTGCTTTGCGCAAGTAAAGCTATTAAATACATATCAGCAGATACACCATGCTCCCTACAGTTGCATCTTCTTCCTCTTCTTCTTCTTCTTCTTCTTCTTCTTCGACGTCTACTGCTTGCTCAACCCGCCAGCGATTGTAATGATTTCGGTGATAATTTACGATTCTTCGAGTTGGCTCTGGCACGCATACGTATGGCTGAACGTTCGGCTGTTGCACGTTCATCTTGCATATATGCACCTGAATTGGCGGCAATGGGCAGGAAACCGATTTCAGTGCGGCGGGTACCATCGATCAGTTGGTAACTGCAAGCAAGGGAAAAATGTAAAAAGTTGTAATAAAAAATAAGTGTGTGTGTGTGTGTATGTGTGTGTGTTTGCGCAAATCCTTTCATTCGTAGAATTGACAGCACGGATTATGTAATGCGCTGCACGAGATGACAGCAATTGCATTACGAGTACTTACGAGAAGCGGTAACCGTCACGCGTGGGCTTGTATTCGAAGTCGCCCAAGTAGATTTTTGGCAAATTTATTGCCAATACTGGACTGTTGTCAATGTTGTTGTTTTTGTTGTTGGAACTGCGTCTGTTGTTGGGATTTTCGTTGCTATTGTTGTTGTTGCTGTAGTGCTGGTTATTGTGATTGCCGTTATTTACATTGTTGTCGATGTTGTTATTGTAGTTGTTGTTGTAGTTATTATTATTCAAGCTATTGTAATTGCCATTATGCACGTTATTGTAATTGTTGTTGTGATTGCCATAATGTTGCTGGCCATACGGATAATGTGCTTCACTACAGGCGAGCATGAATGCGCTCAACGCCAAGAACTGCAACTGACGAAATTAAAGAATTAAAAAAGTAAATCGAATGAAAAAAATACCGTTAAAAATCACAGCTCTTTCGCAATCTCACAAATCCACTAAATTGAACGCTTACAATAACCAAATATATATACATACATATATATGTGTATACATGTATATCTTGACTCCTTCCTACAACACATCCTCTTCACAAACACCACTCCTACTTACAATTTTTATATCCATCATATTGCCAACAATATTGCAACTGTTCCTCTGCGCCGCCACAAACAAAATGATTACAATTTGCCGCACAAATTTTTATTGTAGCCAAAAGTTTTCAAATGTTCCGTTCAAAGCGCGCCTCGCTTGTATTAGTCGCTTAGTTGCGATTTGTTTTGCTTGTCAGCACAAAAGGTAGCAAAAATCAAAAAAAAAAACAAAAACAAACAAGCATCGAAAAATAAATTTAGTGAAGAGCTCAGCAGTAGTCAGCAATAATAATCAAATGCTGCCACAGTCAATGCTGCTGCTGCTGCTGCTACTGCTGCTGGTGCTCCTGCTGCTGCAAGGCGTTTGAAAAGCACCACAAACTACAACAACAAAGTGTCGAGTAATTTGTAAATGTACTTGTTGATTTATTTTGTCATTGTTGTTGTTGTTGTATATACAACCACTCTCGATTTCAGCTGTCATCTAATCAATATATTGCTGTAAAGTATTTCTTTCGATTTTTTCCCATTTGTCTTCAGTTTAATTGTGCATTTCGAGTTTGTTGCTTAAGTCTTTAGCTTCACACTAAAGTGTGTGGTTTTTACAGCTTGATTTCGTCTTGAACGTCAATCAATCAGCGGCCGAGAGGCAAAATGTGCAAGCAAAAAATGAAACAGAAGCAGTGCCACAGCAAATAAACGACGCCACTTGGGCTTATTTTCGGTTTGAGTGTTTATATTATGCATTATAAAAATGTTTGTATGCATACGTGATTTAATACTTCATTGTTCATGTTTATTCCTTTTGTACTCTGCATAAGTAGTTTATTTCGTGCTCTTAACATATTATTGACCATCACTACAGCTGAGTGTGTTGGTGTGCTGCGGGTAATGTGTACGATTTAATTAGAAAACCAATCGGAAATTCATCACTTACAGTTAAATCTATGTATATATACACAAGCTTATATATTTAATGTGCTATACATAAGTCAATGCCGTTCAAGAAAGTTCAAAACGTTGATGGAATTTGTTTTTTGTTTGTTTCTACAAAAGGCACACGCACGCATTCATATAAATAAAATACGTGCTTTGCTCGATATGTAATGTATAATTATGTTATATACTTACTTACTTTTTAATGAGTTTCATCCTCTGTTTCTCTGCATACTTCTGCTATTATTGACAACTCAATGTCAAAAAATGTTAGCTTTGTATGTGGCAGTGGCTACTGTCGAGTTGGTTAGTCAAAAAAATTGGTTATTTGTGAAATAAAACTTATTTTTTTGCTACCAATTCCACACTTTATTTCGGAAAATTGTTAACTGAAATTTCCGAGTGAAGTGTAAATGTTTCAAAGCAATCATTTCGCCTTTAAATTAGCAAACTTGTAAATTGTTTTATATTTTAAAGAAAAATTTTTTGCAAAAAAATCGCATCTTTCCCTTAAAAAATAAATATCACAAAATTAATACCAGATATTTTAGTCACGCATTTTCAGAAAGAAAACAGTTTATTTCGCAAAGAAGAAGAATAATGGAATGCCCTTATTATTCTGTAAAAAATATAAAATAAGAAAAAAAGATATCCCCAGTTATGCCGAAGTATTTTATACCTTTCAGGACAATATCAATCAATTAAATGTTAACTCCCATATCTTAAAAAATCTATTATATAAGACTATATAATATAGTCTTCGAATTTCTGATAATAATTTTTATTTGTATACACTCGTGGAAAGCGCTAAATTCTATGCCTTTAGATGCTTTTTCGACAAATATTTGAACCAAAACCTCATATATGAACAAATCGGTTGTATGGTGGCATCATAGTATTGTAGATGATTTTCGGGGCAAACTTTTATTTATAGGTACAAATGAGTAATACCAAATTTTAAACTTATCTTTGTTTTCTGGAGAGAGTTGGAACAGAAGCTAATATCTGTATATGTATATACTCGTATACGTGCACAATACCACATTTCATTCGCTCAGATGTTTTTTTTTTTTTGATAAATTTATGACCAAAAATCTCAAATCTGAAAATTCAAAATGTGCATGAAAGGTATAATTCAGCACAGAGGTAGAGCCATCATCGTTAAAAAATCATATCGAAATCAATATTAATCATATTGAAACTGTTGCTTATATTTACCCCACAAAAAGAGACTCCTATTGTTCACAAAGTTTCACAAAATTTAAGCTAGCGATTATTCAATGTAAATCTACATAAACCCTTCTAAGATTGACTATAAAAAATTAAGCTAATTCAAAAGGTAACGGCCTAATAAATTTATAACCTAAAGCTTTGACTTGCTCGTTTGTATCTTAAGCTCCTGTGCAAGCGGTATATTGAGCTTCAGAAAGCTTTGATCAATTTCAAGCAGTTAATATCGAAACCTTTTAACAGCTTTAAACATATTGTATTTGTCAGCAACGTTACTTACTAAGCACGAAAAAACATTCTCTAATAACCACAGCTCTACAACGATCAGTGATCATTACCTTCATAATTTGTGTAGGCTTTTATTTTATTTATTTTAAAACAGAGTAACTAAATATGGAGTATTAATAGCAGTAAAATTTAAGTTAACTAATTTCTCAACCAGCAGCAATGCTACATGAGCATGAAAAAAATTTTTTTGAGTGGTTAAAATATTTATTTAAAGTTGGTAAAGTGAAAATTATAGGATTTTCATAGAAATCTAGCCTCGAAGAGAGTTTGAGAGCAAAGCGAACATAAAACTAACTAACTAAAATGGAGAGAAATATAATGCATTTGAGGGATAAAAACAACACGCAAGTGCGTATAATCCCAGATTACTTATTTTCTCTGATTGATCACCTTTTTCGTTTAATAGCCATTATTTCTGGCCATGACATCGAAAATAATAACTAAGTATTACATTTTAAATATATTCCTAACGCAAACTTCATCATAAATAAAAGGTGTTTTTTACACATTTGGTTTCCGTGTAGGAGCTAAACGCATATAATTTAATGTTATACCCAAGAAATTAGCTTTGTTATGTAGACAAAGCCTCGCCTTTATGTTTTAAAAATGATTTCGGGCAAGTGACCGTCGCGACTGGATTTAATTTTTGCAAAACGTATATCTTCAAGAACGCCCCGAATATTCTCTTCAAAAATTTGTGACGTCTTGGGCTTATCTGCGTAGCCCAGCGAGTTCACATAACCCCATAAATAAAATCCCGGTATGATAAATCGTTCTTTCGTAGAGACCACACGACATGAAATAACGACCTCACCAAAAATTTCCTCCAATAAATTGATTGTTTCGTTGATTGTATGGCATGTAGCGTCGTCTAGTTGAAGGCAAAGATAGTCTACATCAACATCCTCAGGCATTAACCATGGTGTTATAGGGTTTTTCATTGACTGTAGCTTTATGAACGGCTTCCTTTTTGAAGAATTATGAACCAATGAACCCCCCTGCCCATAGAGCTCATCGAACCGTGACTTTTAGGGGTTGTATCAGCGTCTCAATAATAGCTTGGGGATTGTCATCACTTCAAATTCGACGTATCCATTCAACCAAACATGTGCTTCGCCGCTGAACAAATTTTTCTTACGAAAGTAGGAAGTGGTACTCACCTCGTTTTGAGGCCACTCACCGAACGTGCAACGTGGTTGATAATCGTTTGGTTCCAATTTTTACATGAGTTGGATTTTGTAAGCACGCAAACCAAGATCCTACCGCAAAAACTACCATAAAGTAAACGGACACTGCGTCAATTGTAGCGTTAGATGTCGGCTGCCCTCACTCGGTATCTTAGATACTGTGGATGTGCATTATCCATCAGAGTAAACGTGGTGCGAAATCGATCCATGCTTGCTCGCACTACCGACTCTGTGGACTATTATATAGACAGAATATTGGACGCAGCACATCGCGCGATGTGTTGAGTAAATCGAGCCAGTTTCCAAGTAATAAATTTGTTTAATTAAATGTTGCTCTAGAGTAAGTCTTCTCATCATTAAATGGCAAACAAAACTGAGTATATATTATGTGAGTGATATTAGAAGTTAGAGATCAGCTCCGAAAAATAGTATTGCCCCATTGAAAAGCACACGTCTCAACTAACCGCAAAGGAGATCATTCGCTTTGAAAATATACCCATGAATTATATCCTCACAATTAATTAGTACGTATAAATGCGTATAAATTTATTTACATATACCATAAATCCACAGGGTATAATACAATAAAAAAATGAATTATCACAAACTAAAAAATACAAATACACACAAATGGTTATTACATAAATCTAATGAAACTAGACAAGAAAAAAACCAATGAAATCTAAAAGCATTTTGGTTTTTGTTCAAAAACTTCACTCAGTTTTTATCATTATGTAATTTTCGTGCTGTCACATAGGGTTGGAAACCATTCTTGTTGGCCTTGTAGAGCACAGTGTACTCATAGCCATCAGCAGAGATGAAACTGTAACCACCACGGTATTCCACCGGTTTCACAGTTGTTTCAGCCTTATCATTCGGCTCCTCATTATCGTCAGTTGCCACACTCTTCGTGCCATTGAATTTTATATCCTCTGTACGTGATTGGCCGTTCTCTGTTTTGAAGCTGTCAAAAGAAAGAGAGTTAAGGAAAGAAGAGAAATCTTAACCATTTTTACAATTTATGTGGTATGTGACATACTTTGGCGAGTTCTTTTTCTATTTTAAAAACGCAATAAGAAATTATACAAATCTATAAACAAACTGTAATTTTTTTTATTTCTTAAATATTAATAAGTACTTTTGTTTATAAGCAAAACTATGAAAGCGTCACTTGATTATTTTTTTTTTGATTATTTTTGTAAAATTATTATTCTGCTGAGCCAGAAAAATGTCACCTGTTTGCCTATAAAATGATATCATAATCCAAATATAAAAAAAAAAATATTTAATAAATTTAATTTCTAAAAGGCCAAAAAATGATTTGCATAAAAAGAAATGTAAACGTGAAGAAGCTACGCAACTTGGAATCAGAAAAAGAAAACACTAAAAGCGATTTAATTTCTTTTTGTTGTGTTTTTATTTCAACCTTTATTTACACTCACCCAAAATGCAACAATTGTTCACCATTGTCACCAGTTTCTATGACCATCGCATAAACAGTTTGCAGCAGTAAAATTGAGGCAATAACGGAGATCTACAGTGAAAGGAGCGGGTTATTAGTTGTATTATGTTAAAAAGAAACTTTAAAATAGTTTTCATTTTATATAATAAAAAAATAAAAAAATAAATATGAAAACAGAAACAAAAAAATATCAAAAACTAAATATATATAGTATATATAAATTTATATTGGAACTATTGGTAGTATTTTGATTGCACTGGAGCTAAACATTGCACAAAAACAGTTTGGAACCACTTGAAAAAGGCTGGATACACAAGGAGCTCGAGGCGTGACTAACACATAAGTGGATAAGAAGAAGCCGCATGGACCTAATTTCTATCTGCCAATCGCCTATTCCTGAAGCTAGTGACTGGTGATGGAAAGTGGATCCCTTACAGCAAACGTCAAAACGAAGAGCAGTGAACCGTCGAGACAGGATCGACTGTCAGGAATGTATATTTGATGGAATCGGAATCAAGAAAGCACCTTAACTCTTAGTCAAAACCTGTACTGTCAGCAATTGGAACCGTCTGAAAGAAGCAATCACCCAGAAGCGCTCAGCTTTGATCAGCAAGAGGAGAATGGTGTCTCATTAGGAAAACCACAGACCACACACATCGATTATGACTTGCCAAAAGCTCCGGGAGCTTAGTTGAGTGGTTCTTATGCATCCACCATATGAGTCAGATGGTACCCATCTGTTCTAGACTGTTGTAATATTTAGATATGACTGGTGAAGAATTAATCTCAAGACAAACTTGCAAAAAACCATTGTTCCAATTTTTTTAAAATGATTTTTATGAGAGAGACATATTGACTTAAATCTAACTATTGTAAAAACAATGGATTAACTTTTACTGCGTTTAAATCTAAACAAAAATAAATTTATATATAAAAACAAAAGCAAAAAATTTAATAAAAAAAATTAAAAAGAAAACTAAAACATTCACAAAGTCACGCTAATTTATATTTCTTTCTAATGATTTTAAACATTTAATCGTGTTTTTACTGTAAAAATCCATAAGCTGTTAGCTTGAAGTGTTTTTAAATTTGTACAAGGGTTGCTCTTTAATTTTAATTTTGAGATTAAAGAACAAAAAGAAATATGAATCATCAAAATACCCTTTATTGCTTTTAAAAATATTCTTCATTTAGATCTATAAGCTTTTGCAACCTTTTCATCTTCAGGTGTCGAAAAAAGTTGACCTCTCAATTTATTTTTTACGTACGGGAATAAAAAAGTCAAGCTCAAAAGTGCCAAGGCTAGACAAAATAATGGAAGACTCATCAAATAGATTTTTGAAATGCTCAAAAATGCAGTTCTTTCAGTCGATGTGCGAGTGGTCGCATTGTCGTGGTGAAGAATGATCCGTACTTGATTGCTGGTTTTCCTGACTACTTGAAAGACAACTGGAAAAAAAATGGTTGTGTACCACTCAGAATTTACTGTTCTGTGTTGTTATGTACGTTTGCAACATTTCCAGTTTTTTCCACACACAGCTATTTGCTTAGAAGTGCATCGTGTCACGATGCCATAAACACATTTCTCTCCACCAGCCTGTTTTTGAGCGATTGGCAAACAGTCAATCCAAAGTGGATGGAAATATAAAAGGCCACCCTCGTATATTGTTTATTAATTTTTAATTTGGATTGCGCAACAGAAAGAGTAGACGCTAATTGCTTCGCTTTCTGTGACATCTTAATTGAGTTTTATTAATTTAATTTTCAATATCCATTTGGTTTCTAAGCCTTTACAATTCATTTTTTAAATCTATATTTTGAATATTAATGAAGCAAAAAATTACCTAAGAATCTGGTAAATAAGTTATAGATAGACAAAATTGATTCTTGCTTTGAAGAAATAAAAACGAGGTATTCTTGCATGAGGTTTAAACGGGTATCCATGGCTAAAATATCACCGCCACAAACAAATAAGGTGGATTAATCGTAGCTATGGACTAGCTCTATGGATGTCCAACCTTCAGCCGATCGAGATATCATACCTTTCACCAAGCTCTGTTCTTACGGAAGTGGTCATGCATGGTAAAAAGCAATTGGCATCCGAGGCGAAGCGCAATGAGCTTAGGACAGGATCTCAATCCACATCATAAAGTCAATATTTTTGAAATTATTTTCTTAGTTTTCTTTTTCATTTTCTTCTTTGCACAGTCGGTCCTTACTCTTCGCACAGTGATGTTTATTTTACAGTCGTAGAGTAGAAAATCTTAGCGATTGTTTCTGGTTTGAGCTCAAAGCTTTGATCATCTGATCGACTTAATTTCTCATATCAGTTGGCACTCGTGGCTGTATCTCACTTTTAAAAGCAGAATTGCTTCAATCATTTTGACAACTATTAAAAACAAACCTCACAAAGAAGCGAGATAAAATGGGAGTTGGGTTCCTTTAAAGGCACAAAAGGGGTTGCGATAGCCAAGCACTGTGAGATGGTAGGTAATATGCAATGATACTAGTCGCTGAATTAGAAAGAGATGAAAGATACATAAATTAGTTAGTGTAAAAATAAAATACCCTCCAGCCAGCTGTATCTTCTGATGCATGTTTCGAATGAAATAATAATGAGACACATACTTCGAAATATATATAAAACATTAGAAATAAATAGTAAAGTGGACTTGGAGATGAAGCGAAGCGTAATCAAAATAGTTAGAAAGTTTTTGTAGGAAGATGAACTTTTTTCTCATATTCGTAGTATACATAAAGTGACATACAGACACGAAAAAACGTTTGAAGAACTATATTGTACAATACGATTTCCGAAACAGGCGATGAACTCAGAAGCTTCGGTACAAGCAAACGCTTATCCATAAGTTATGTAAGGCGTATGATTTGAATCCCTTGAAACTTGCCTTTGAAAATAAGATAGTTCGTGACAGAGATCATCTTTTAGTAGTAGTTAGTACCAGTCAATCGAGATCTATCAGTAAACTTCAAAAAAATAGGAATGTCCTTTGGTGAGAATTTGCAACATTTAGTATAAAAATTATATTTTGAGCTGGTTTTTTCCTTTAAAAATAAGCTCTCAATCTTATCACTTTGCAAACAAACAGAAATTTTTTTCAAATAGAAAATTATCTAAGGCTTTCCACGAAGACTTAGAGCTACTTAAAGATCATCATATATATGTAGAACTTGTATATGCAGATTTTACTTACAATTTGCGTCTTCATTTTGTATTTTCCAAATAAACACTATTTATTTATTCTTTCCAAAAAAAATTTTTTCTTTTAAGTGTGTAGCTTTTCCTTCAAATATACACAATTTTTCCACAAACAATTTTATTTTTTTTCATTTACTCCTTCAACACCAGAACTTAAAAAAATCTCCGGTCCGCTGCTGTGTGTTCTCTTTAAGTTTCGCAATCAAACTAAACTAGTTCGTTTCATTAAGTGACTCTAAAAAGTATTAGCCAGAAAATTTTGCGTTCACAACATTTTATACACTTACTTACATACAAATAAACATTGGAAGTTCCCGCTTAAATATTTTGCGATGTTTTGTGCTGCATACTCGTACTTTGTATTGTGTATTCTTAAGACCTGTAGACATTTATCTTTCTTTTTGTTTTGACTCTGGCAGCTTATGCTAATGAGCAATGAGTGTTAGTGAGCTCGGATGGATGGCTGGCTGGCTGGATCATTTCGACCGGCAAAATTCAATAATAATAGATTACGTCATAATTTATTGGACAAGTTTCTCTAGATTTAAATCGCTGTACGTTAAGGTTGGAGAGATTTTTCGAAACGGAGAAAAAGTTGATTCAAACACAAAGAATAACAAAATATTGAAAACAACAAATTTAACGATTTCCAGAGCATCTTTGAAAGTAAAAGAGAAAAAAAAAGATTTTGCAAGCATTCAATTGAACTACGAAGATTCTTCACAGTTGTCAATAAAGCTGTAGAGTCATACAGATATTCATAGTGTACAAGCACAGGCTTTAGTCATACACATTAGGGTTGAAAACTGTGATGCGGAGGGAGGTTTTCAATATAAGTAAAATGTAACCCATTATTTCTGCCTTAAATTGTAGGCTTTTTACTACACTTAGAAATATCCGATTCGCTCCTTACTTTTTGCCAATTTTTAGGTAATTTCATTATTCTTCTCTCATAGAAACACCTGGACAGATGGTAATCATTTGATGGGAGATCCGGCCTGTACTGTACATGCATAAGGACCTTGCAGCTAAGCTTTGGAAGATAATTTCGAGTTACCAATGATATGTGGGGTTTGGCGTTCTCTCGATGAATCAAAATTCCACTCCTGCTGAGCAAAGCTCGGCGCTTCTGATATATTGCTTCCCATGGCTGAAAGTACAGGTACGAATTAAAAGTTTGGCAATAGGAGAGCACCTTAAAGAAGATAGTTCCTTACCAATCCCATCGTAGTTTGGAAACCCGTTGTGGCGACTCACTTTCTTTCGACCACGAGAGTTTTTGTTGGAAATTGCTCTTCATCGACAGATACCATCCAAATCACGAGTAAACCGATTTTGTTACGATTCAACGAGGTGTGAGGTGTTTTCCCGTTAACTCATTTGGCACCCATACATCGAAACTCTTTCTTTTTTCTAGTATTTTTCAAGTGAATCCAAATCGTTTTTTGTGCAATGTTTCCGGGGAAATCGGAATCGACTGGACGCTGCAAACAGAAATCGCCTTTTGTTAAAAAAATGTAAATAAACTCGGAATACAAATTTTTGTTGGGGATCTGAATAATAAATTTTTATTTTAAATTATTAAATTCAATTTATTGATGAATGGTTGTACCTAATATCATTTTATGCCCAAAAGCAGTTTCAGAAATATTTTTTACATACTTACATATATGTATTTGCTTATACTCGTAATGATAGCCGCTGTTATTTATATGCGTAGATATTTATTGTTTACATTGTTTATAATATTTTGTTGTTTTTTAATTTTTTGTAACTGGTAAGTTATATCCTAAGCGATGCCTAACAAATTCGTGTACAAAATCATTTTTCATCGACTGATTTATGACGTAGATACGGTGAGTTATTGAGTAGATCAAAAGTTGAAGCACAACTACTCTGGTTTGTGGCATTTTTCGCATTATTCAATGACAGAAAATCAATTATTTACAATAAAGTGATTGAGCATGAGCATTCAAAATAAGATTAATTAACCTTTTCGGGTGTAGAAAGCGTGTGAGAGTCAAATGGGAAGCTACAGTAAATATGTAATTTATGGCTAAATACTTCCCAGTGTCTTGTGCAAAATAAATTAATAAAAAATTTGTCGATTCATTATATAAATTTTTTAAATAATTTTTACCGAAGAAAAGGAAGAAAGAACGAATTTAAAACATCTATAAATCGGCTCAGTTTCTCGCCAACTTGTTGAGTATATCCCCTATGAATTAACTCTTCAAGCTTTTCCTGCCGACACATTTCATTCTCTCCATTTTACTTTCAGCAAATGCGTCTTTCGTCCCTCTTCAGCTTTCCATCGTAGTATTGTGAAACTGGCAGTTCTTTTTCTCTCTATTGTAGCGCGCTATTTCTCATCGCACTAGCGTTAATTGCGAAAACCGAACTCCTCGAAATTTCTCTCTTAAACAACGATGATGCACATTAACTATTGAATGTTCTGTTCCGATCTGACTCTGCTATCGACGTTAGAATGTGAAGTGAGAGCACGCTTTCAGTTGCAATATTATTTAACCAAGAGTTAGTCATCTCTCATCTTTTTACGAGCGTTGAACGTTTAATTTGCATTTATTTTCTTAATTCTCAATCGTTTTTAAAAAAAAAATAACTTCAAGAAGTTCAATAAATACTTAAAATAAGAGATTTATTGATTTTTGATGAAATAGAAAAATCGATTTTACAATACAACTAGATGTTGACAAGTGCTCTCAGAGAGCAAGAGTGCTAGATCTGCTGAGCTGTCTGTTGTAATTGTAGTTGTTCGACGTCAAACCTTCTAGGTGTTCGTAGACGTGCATTATTCGTTGTAAAGAGGAGAGTGCGTACTTTGACTGCCATAAGCTTCTGGTCCGAGACGTTATTTGGCCTTTGGAATGAACGTACATCTTAACTATTGCAGATTTATCATTTTCACAAGATTCACAACGGCGTTGAAAGCACGTTTTTAGCATTCTTAATCCCATCCACATTATCTTTAGTTGCATCATGCGCGTAAATCAGTGAAATATTTAAAATCCAAAATTTTAATACGGACTGTGACGAAACGTTCATACTCGGTTACTTAATGTCTTTTCTGCTATTTACTCGTCCAATACCAAATTTTGTATGACCACCGCAAAATGTGACAAGGGTCGTCCCTTCGTTAGCCTTTTTCAGCCATCACATCTTCAAAAAGTAACATCGCTGCGTGAGGGTCAATTATATAATAATTAAATATAAATACTACCATTCTGAAGGCCCGACTCGACCAATATCCCAAGTTATATGAAATTAACTTTTCGAATCGCCCTTTAGCCAGGCATTTCTGACATGAAGTAAAGCTCCGCCGTTCGGAAGCAGCCTACCACGCATACCACAAATTTGAGGAAAATTGTTTCAGATATTACAAAGCGCCATTTATATGCAAAAATAAAGTTTTCTTCCCTTTAACCGTGACCCTAGCTCCATACGTTCGTTACGTCATCGGCCAAGCTCCTCATCCAATTTGTGGTTTTGCGTCTTGATGTTTTTCCAACACGTGGAGGGCCCAACAGTTTATACTAAGCCGCCTCCGGATGGCTGATGGGTTTTTTAAGAGAAGTTTTCTTTTCATGTCCGAAATATACTCTATGCGACCGCGCATAGAAAATTTAATTTAATTTGGCGGCACCGGGAATGAACCCGTGCCTTCCGAATGTCAGTCTGCAATGCTAACCACTCGGCTTTCGTGTATAACTATGAAGTTTTTACTGTATACCCGGAAATAAAACCACAATGCCCCATTATACCTCCCCGACTTATTAAAAACCCATAATTTTCTTGTTTGAAATCTTAAAGGCAACAAAAATACAAGAAATAAAAATAAAAATAAAATATTCAAAGAATCTTTTGTAATAAAAAGTTTATTTATTTAAAAAATTTAATAAAACCGATTTTGAAATCTCACTGATCTAGTTTTTAATGAAATTAAACTACTTATTTATATATGTATGTATTTTTCATATGCACATTTTTTAGCTCCTAATAAAGATAACCATTATTTGGTACATTTCCACCACCACCGCCATTGCAGCCGCTATCACAGCCGCCACCACCATTGTTAGGACAACCACCACCGCCGTCACCACCATCACCAGGATGTCCGCCACCGGCAGCAATCTTATCCAATGCATCTTGTATTTCGGGCGGTATTGGTGGCGGTGTCGGCAAATGATCACCTTGCGGTTGAAACCCATTCTCATCGGCGGTATAAGTTACAAGGAATGACTGCCCCTCCGGACTGGTGTATGAGAAAGAACCTTCTGCCGTTAAGATGGCATTACAAGGATCATCGGCGTTTTTCACATAACCCGACTCCTGAGCATTGATGCCATTGCCGGTTTCGTATTCATACTACATAAAAGTGTAAGTGAATATTTATGCAATTAAATGTGGTACATATTACACCAAAGAAGTAATTATTTACTTGATATGAACCGTCAATGTTGACTTTGGATTCCAGTTTAATTATGGGTATATCAGAGCCGGCACCCGGTGCACCGCCACCACCGCCATTACCACCACCAAACGAGCCGCCACCATTCGGCGGCGGATATGAGTATCCACCACTTGGTGGCGCAGGTGGTCTAGGTGGTGGCGCTGGTGGTCCGCCTTTCGGATAACCGCGTGGTACAGCCAAAGCGTAGCCGAAAAGACAACATATCACAAATGTAAACTGTAACACAATAAAATTGAAAGAAAAATATTAATTATTTTTTTTAGAATTGAATTTCCTTTTAAAGCACTATTTAGAGCCTTTTAATATCTGTTCACACACCCGCACACTTTGCATGCTTATTAAAGAGCTCCAATCTCCGACGTATTTTAACTGGAAAATGAAACAACTTAACCGCTCGACTTACGACTACCGAAATTGCACTGATTTCTGCAACCAGTTGAATTTTGGTTTTATAAACTTACGACTCCCCAAACGTTGCTCTGTTTTGACTAATTTACAACGTTACAGTGATTGTGTGATCCTCACGCGCCAAAGGTCAGCTGGTGGCAAGTAAAGCAGACGAAGAGGTTTGAAAACTGATAAAGAGTAAACACTGAAAGAAATATTTATATTTTTTTGTATAACGCTTAATATAGGTTAGCTCTAACGGATACCGATCACTAATTCACTCCAGGCTTTGTGTGCCAATAATCAACGTTCTGGCCAAACACGTTTTCTTGCTGTTGATTTCGAACATAAAAATTAGCCTCATATGTATAGATTTTCCAATGTTTGTGAATGAACATCTTTTTCATATCGGGACACTCTCGACCCGAACAATATGCACTCATCTCGAAGCATCGAGGCATTTGAACGAAGCTAAACTCATCATCTTTTCACGACACGATAACTTGTATTTCAGTTTTTATTTTATTTTATTTTATTTTATTTTATTTTATTTTATTTTATTTTATTTTATTTTATTTTATTTTGTTTTATTTTATTTTATTTTATTTTATTTTTTGGACATTTTATTTTATCTATTTTCTTTAATACTCGTAATTGTGTTTTGTTTTATATCAGGTTATTTTTTTAATTTCATTTTATTTTATTTACTTTTTTTTATTTTACTTAATTTTAATTTAATTTTATTTTATTTCATTTCATTTGATCTTATTTTAGTTATTTAATTTTTTATTTTATCTAGTTTTTGAACGATTTTCTCTTCCAGTGTTTTTTGGTTGTTCAATAGATTATGACGAAATACATATATATACGAAATATACTACAAAAACAACTCTGGATATGAAGTAATAAGGCAATGATTATCAAAGCACACTCTACAGCACCATTTTCGCGCCATATTTACGCTTGTAAAAAGCTGCGCATGCGTGGCCGATACGAAAGTGACCTGCTATGATGCGCTTCAAATGCATTAAGTGATTACATTAATGTGGCTGCCTTGAAAACGTTGCTTTATGTATAAGTATATAGATTCATATAGATATATATATATATATATACATATATATTTCTTTTGCTTCTCTTTCACTAATGCATTAAAAATCAAGAATGGGCCTCGAATTTAAAAATAGTGCATTAATTCAATTTGCAAATGATATAATCAATTAATCTTATTTTATATTAATGATTGCAGAACTGTTTTGTTTACAAAATCTCTTAACAACAGCATGTTAAAATGTATTCAATAGAAAATTCTTTTAATTATCTCAGTAATTCTGACAAATTGAGAGTTTTGGGTAACTAGTTATCATACCTATTCTTTGGTATCATTTACTTAGCTTCTCAATCGCTTGTACTACATTGGCCAATTTACTCCGGTAATATTCATGGCAATTTAAAATCAGTTTACTTTAATTCTAACAAATGGTAAAATACTGATAAATAGCTGGCAAATTAAATGCAGTGTATCCTCTCCACTGGATGTTTAGTAGCTCCTCTGACACTTGCTATCTTCACTACGCTCACCCTTATTTTGTGCAGCAACATGCAACACGGCCTAATCTCATAAAACAACAATACCCGCTGTGCCACAAGCAAACTTCAAATTTAATTAAAAATCGTTTAAAATAGTACATTAAGTTGGTAGATTATTGAGTGATGCCATATTGCTTAACAGAGGCAAGTTCACTCTGCTTTAAAAATCTTACAATCTGTTGCAACCCTAAACTGAGAAGATATAAGCGAAGTTGGAAAATTTCACTTGAAAATCCAATGATTTCATTCATTTACCATATTCATCTGCAATTCTCCACAAGTTTATTAAATATTTCTTCAATATGTGCGGAGTTAACGCTTGGCAATGGATGTTTATTATTTTCAAATGCAATTACTTTCTATGAAATCAAGCGGCAACCCTATAGACCAAATATGCAGCACTAACAATGAATAATCAACAGCAAAGCATCGGCAACACCTGCAAGGCAGCATGGTATTCCTTTTTCGCCAGGACATTCAGACACACATATCGTTATGCTTAATACGAGTAACCACCGAACAAGTAGCAGAACCACACCTCACTCACTCAACCCCTTGTGGAGTAACGCACGCAATGCGAGCCTGCTAATGCACAATGAATGTAATTTCTACGCTTGCACTGTGCCAGTTACCTCACATGTCCTCTCACTCTCTACTTAGAGTATGTATTAAGCCAATGAACATCTATTAACTTTTTGTCGGCGTGTCAATATGTGGCCTTCAAGTCCTTTACTAAGTCTGACGAGCCTTCTTTGTGTTTTCCTCATACACTATTGTATGCATGATGAGCAATTTGATGGGGTTCTCAAACCTATCTGTATGTTTGTTCCAACGTTTCTTTGAGCAAGTGCGTATAAAAGCAGTGCGTAAGAGAGTATATGCTCTTCGAAAAGTTCAGTGAGTCGAAATAACGATGACATGACGAACTTGTCCTACTTACTTGTGGCACAAGAAAACAGCTGACATATTCCCAGCTTATCGCAGGGTAGATATTGCGATTAGTTAGTCCATGAAGGCTGTTGTAGTGGCAGAAAAGAAAATGTGATTATTCTTAAATTGTACCTCGTTGCGAGAAAATTTAGAATTTTTTTTTTTATCCCCTTTCTACCTTCGAAAACTTTGAAAAGTCCTTAGGGGCTATTTAAATGGAACGGGCATACAAACGATGAATATCTTAGCTCTGATATTAGGAGTAGAGCTCAAGATGGCTTTGCAGGTCTCGCAGGTGTGTTATTGAAGTACATTTAGCTATTTTACGTCTTGTACTCCCGTCCGGAGTCATACTTACGAAAACAGCAGAAGTGACAGATTACAAACAATACTTATAATCATTCCCATGGACTTCAGTTGATTTTGTTTAACAAGAGCCGAAGAACTGACTTCTTATTCAGTCAAGCAGACTTAAACCGGTGGTCGCTATAAAGCTCTATTTTCTTCCCACTTCAGGGGATAGCAATGCTCAGGTCACCATGGAAATGAGAAATCCGCTAGATCCCGGTGTGGAAGCATATGTTTGGATAATTAGAGCCGTGATCAGTAGCTGCAGCCTCGTACGCAATTAACGTTGATACACCGCTTTTCCTTGAGGTGATTCAACATTGCGTTCGTAGGTCCTTTTGTGAAAGAAGACCACTGTAGGCTCCCTATGCTAGAGAAAACATCGCTATATATTGCAAGAGGAGCTCGCTCCAACGGTTATAAAATGGCACTTATACATTCAACTAGTATTGGGCGCGGGGTGAATGTTTGATCTATGGTGAATGTTTGATCAGGTTTCAGTCATCAGTAATCCATTGGCTTTGGCTGTATTGCCATTATTTCTATTCTTTTCTATATCTCCAGAAGATTTGCTGATCAGAAAGACAAGTTGAGTTGACTTAACCAAGTTCGTCTGTCCGTAGCGGCCACGGTAGCCGAGTGGTTAGCATTGCGTACTAAATTTTCTAACTTCGGTCGCCCCTCGGCAGGAAATGTACCCTCCTCTAAGTGTGTTTCGGACAAAAAGCAGAGGCTCCTCATAAAAAAAGCCGTTCGGAGGCGGCTTAGTATAAGCTGTAGACCCCTCCATTCGTTGGAGGCGAGTGTAACCGCGACCTTCAGCGATCGGTTTCGGGTTCAGGGTAGTCCGACACCGGTCTGTTGCATTTTTCGGTTAAGAGGGAGGTGGCTAACGCTGGGATGGTTGTGAACAAAAATAAAAAGCTTAACCAAATGTTTTTCAAATCTTATGCTAAAAATGATCATAACAATTACGCTCCAAAATTTGTCGAATCACTACATCTTCCTGTTCCACAAAACAGCGTTAAACGATGTCACTGCCAACTTCAAACATTAATCGTCACGGGAATTCGTCCAACTGACGTCCTGCTGCCTTGACATTGGCAAAAACTTTGCTACGCACTTTACAAAAACACATCCACCAACCCCACAGTCAAGGTCCAGGAACTAACGCACCATACAGAAAGTACCTTGCAACACCAACACCACCACCACCCAAAGCCAAGCAAACTAGCATCAACAGCATACAAGCAAGGCCAAACGAAAGCCCTGACACAAGCAAACACCCTCAGCTGCATACATCTATACATACATGAGTTGTGTGGTCGGTGTTTGTACACTTGCTACAACACACCAACATCACCGGCTAAGAAACCAACAAATGTTGGTCTGTAATGAAAAAGAAATGCATATCTAAAATTTTGCACGCACTCGTTGCGCTGTCGCACAAGCTGTCATATTCCGCTCGCCACACAATGAAACTATAAAGCTAATGACGAAGACAATATAGTTTTTGAATTTTGATGAAATTTTATGAAAAGGCCATTATTAACAATATTTGTAGGCATTAAATATGAAAGCAAATTCGATACGTATTAGCTACACCGCCCCATAAGCAGCGCGTTGAGTGGCTGGCTTAATGCTCGCACCGCTAGCAGAGGGTGCAGCACGGCGAGGGTGAACTGTAGACGGGTGTATATTTATGGTTATGATTGTGGTTGCAAATAGATTAAGTTGTTGTTAAATAAACAAAGGCCAGCAAATGCACTTGGCATGCTCATACATACATACACAGACACACACACACCCATATACGCGTATATCTATGTAAATATAAACTACTGCGATTAGATGCGAAAAAATGATAAATTAGCTTGGTGACACCCCTCAAAACAAGCGTTGACAATCACAATATGCGTAAAGCATAGAACGTTTATGTGTATGTAGGTATGCGTGTATATATGTATGTATGCCAAACATTGAGAAGAGCATCATCATGCCCGCCGCGTTTGCAACAGCTTGCGAAAAGCAACAACTGTGTTGACCAAAAAAAAAACATGTTTGCCATGCAGCGAGCATCTTGATAGCGCTCAAATGAATGGCTACTGCTTGCAAAGAAATAAAACGCTTAGAGCTCAAGCAACGAAAAGTGATTAGCATATGAAAGAGATTTATGTGATTTCCGCTGATATCATTTACTGATAAATTAATTTAATTATTGTATTTTATACACACTCATGCGCTATTCAACTTCATCAATTCGTTATTGTTTTTAGAAATAAAAACTCTTATATATTTATATAAACGATTTTATAAGTTTATTTGAACATTCATCTCATTAGCGCAGCATCAGATAGGACTACGTGACCCATATGGTCATATACATATCTATGTATGCACATATATCGGAAAGTTGATTACTCGAAATCCCGGGGGAGGGTTGGCAGGCCTTGCAACAAGGTTTAAAAATTTAAAGTAAAATATTATTTGACTTGTTGTAACCTTGACTTCAAAGCTTTCACCCAATCTTTACAAAGTTTTCGCCTGTGCTTGATACTGACGTGGTAGAGGAGAGAGGAGGGACTTACAGTTTTATTAGCTTTTAATACAACTTAGTTACCACCTACCATATGGGTCACCTACCTTCAGTGTCCGCCAAAAGTCTTTGGACACAGGAAATACCGTATTGGCTGAAACGTTTGTGGCGCTAGTTCAACGTTCAGACGAAAGCTGAAATTTCATGATATTCCACTTATGAGAGAGAGAGCGACAGATTGATTAATTTCTATCTGGGCGCGTATCAAGACTTGATCTAGTTCACAACAACTCTCTCTCAGTATGATTTTATACACCATATTGTTGTAACAACTTCGTTGTTAGCAGAGGCAAAGCTTACTAAAAGTATGTTTTAAAAAGTGAAATAGTTAGGAACCTTCATAGGATCTAATCAGTATTACTTTAAACCTCGCTGATTCATCATCGACCAAATATTTGTAATACCCTTCTGGAAATAGCAATGACTTTTCGCCTATATGACTCCCCGCAGAATGGAATTCAAGAGTATAGTAATCACTCAATGAGCAAACTCAATAAATCCTTCACCAACCTTATCGAGCGTAACCAGAAACTTGCAAGAGGAAGGCTCACAAGCGGCATCGATGCCATATCTATTAAGCTTCATCCATCACGCTACCTAGATCATTGTGCTCGGAATTGTAAAAGTTTTCATTGCGGTGCCGCTCCTCCACTCTATAGGAGGGATAAAGATTATATATTCCTAAGCTTTTTCAATGACTTCCATCATATAACAATTACTTATTATATATTCTTACATACACTACTCCACCCCAACCCCGAGCAGATGTAGCTGCATTCGATTAAAAAGTTCATATATGAGCCCACTTGCATATCTACACTCACGCATCAGTAATTATTTTTTGTGCAAAACAGAAAAACTCGCATCCATCAAGAACGGTTCTAAGTAAATTCACCAGCGCCACCAACGATGCGCACCACACAATCTTTCACCTGCAAAACTTCCAAAAACCCTTAAGCACTTAATTAAAAACCTAAATAAACCCAACCAGATGTACTCGTAATGCTAAAATAATTTTAGACCCAACGAAAATATTATAAAACAAGCAAACACCAAAACAATCACAACCAACACGCCGCCACCGCATCGTCGCATCAATGCATCATGCACATATATACACATATAGAATGTAAACCCTATTAATCGCCCTGCACGAGCCACACAAGTGTTAAGCGATGCATTGGCGGAAGGCAAGTGGCAGCGCGTGCGGTGTGACCTGAAACACATGTTTTTCGGGATTTGCAGATTTACGCACAACAACAAAATAATTTAGATAGCGAGAGGCGAAAAGGGCACGAGCCATTGATGATACAGTGATTTGAAAGGTAAAACACTGATGATGATGATGATGATTCTAATGCTTTTGTTGTTGTCGTTGGTTGTTGGTCGCCGTACAGCCTTCGAAATGATACTGGCACTTATGACTATTGCGGTTGCAGTGGTTGCAATAGCGCGTGCTCGATTGATTACGGCTATGAAGGACACCAAACAATAATAACAACAACAACAACAACATCCAACAAGTTTCAAAGGCCAACTCTGATAGTTTGAGCGCACAACAACAGCAACACCGAAGATAACGGCAGCGTATTATTAAATGTGTTATGAAAACGTGCTGCCAACAATAAAGTGAAGTCAAGGCTTGTTTAGCGAACAGGAGCGGTTCAGGGTATTAAACGGAGTAGGCGATGATTTTCATCTAGTCTGCCTTTGATTAGTTAATATTGAATGGGTATGCAATTCATATTGTTTGAAACTATTTGACTCTGAAGAAAGGGTAATTGTTGTTATATAATTGGCGCTTTGTAAACGCGGAAGCGATTTTTCGGCTGAGCTCCTCCTCCAATACTGAGCCGCCTCCGACCAATCTTCTCTGTTTGGCGCCAGTTGGATATACCAAGTGAAACTAGATTGCTCTCCACCTGATCCTTCCAATGGAATGAAGGTCTTCTTCACCTTCCACTTCTCCCAGCGATACTGCAACGAATATTTTCAACGCTGCTGCACTTTTATGCAATCCTGACCTAGCCAGCGCTGAAATATGTCAGTGTCATCGTATAACGCCCACAGCCAAAGGTGCGCATATATCGTTCCCAAAACTTTCGCGAAGAATCCCAGGGTCAACTCATCGCATGTTGACATTGTCCAGGCTTCTGCACCGTATAGGAGGACGGGATTGATGAGTAAAAATCAAAAATCTTCTGGTAAACGGAAAGTACTACGGTAAATCTTCTACCAGATTTCTGATACTACCATTAAACATTCTTTTTTTTAACACAAGCTCAGCGGTACACTTTTCCAGGCTTTCATGGTGGACTTTCTAATGTCGTATCTGTCAATACTCTTGTAAGCGGTCGCTCTCTGACCAAAAGACCACCGGTACCGATATTGCAGAACATTATCCACACAGGGACAGTTGTTCAAGTGGTTACTATCAGCTCGGCTCGCCGCATCATCAACTGTCTTTCATCCATTCCCATTGTCAAATAAGGTGCGAAAAGTTGTCATCTAAGAACTATCAGCCTTTTAAAGAACCGTGATATGTCAGTCTTAGGGTTGAAAAAAGAAGTATTGCGCCTGGCTATCAAAGTGGTTTCCTACCTTCAACTGAGAAGACGCTCAACAGATCTAATGGTTTTTGCAGCAGTGTGGCAACATGAATCTGACCGTTTCATTTAACATTTGCAACGATCAACTAAATCTGATAGTCTTCCGAATACAATCTGACTACTTAGCCTACTACAAAACGGTTTTCCGGAACCAGAACAGATAAGGTCTCTCAATCAATTGATGTGATTGTAAATACATTTCAATTTTTATGTTGAACAGAACCATTTTATTCAGCACCCGGACTCGAATTCCCCTCACTGCGCGCCTGGAAATCACGACCAACCCTAAACTTAACCGCAAACAAATGCAAAAATTAAAGTATTTGGTAGAGTTTCCTTGCGGAGAGGGGTTGTACGGACCATGTCTATGTACAAGTGCGTCAGTATGTGCGAAAGGATACGATTTGTACAGCATATTAAAGAAACAACAGAACTTCATGCCTACATACAAACTCATACACACACTTACAAAGGCATAACATTGCAATAACATTGACACTCGATCGTTTAATTTCAATTAAAAACCTTTTTACGCTCACAACGAAGAGCTTCATGCAAGGGAGGAATAGCGGCAACGGGAATAACATCAATTGCGAAAAGCCAAAAAGGCTCAACCAACTAAAAAAAATTGTGCGTACAACAACAATCAAGCAGCGACAAATGATTGTGTAGTGAATGGATGTGTGATTGAATGTGTGACGGATTGTATTGCTGAGGGTTGAGTAGTGTCGTGCAACACTTGCTCCGCAGAGCTTATCGCGTGGCACAACATGATGTTGCACTTGCTGCTCTCAGTTTGCTGCTCGTCTGCCAAAGGCCAACCACCGCTGGACCATGTTTTCGTGCGGATTGAGCGATTTGGCCGACTAGCAAGCAGGAGGACAAGCAGGCAGGCAGGCAGTGTTTGGTGTTGTTTGGTTGCTGAGTATTTTGTTGTTTTGATGGCATTATGGACTCGTATGTTAGGGTATGCCATAGCGCATTCGTATGCTGGGAATTCTTGCACTTGTCACCAACTACGGAACTAAAGTGATGCGCGCAGAAAGTGCGCTGCGACAGAGAGAGAAAGAGTGAGAGAGAGAGAACTGAAGCGAATTGCAATTCCAAATGGGTTTGTATTCGAAAATCCTGTAACAATAATTCTTAGCAGAAAACTTTGATTGCTGTCGCAACGCAGCGCAGGATATGGGCAATTGCCGAGCGTTTAGCGATGCTAAAAACTGCGAAGGGTCACACCAACGCTGTGCACGTGGTTGCAAGCCGAAATGAGCAGTCGGTCGGTAAGTGATGAGGATGAGCGTTGATATAAAAGGCAAGGACATTCCCATTTGGAATGCAGAATCTAATTTGATTGCGCGAAGCTCGCACGTTAGTGTATTTACGGATTTTTTTTTTGGAAAATTTAAAAAGAATTTATTTTCATTTTTGTTTTTTGAATTTCGAAATGTTACCTGCGTTGCCCACGAACAGCAACACACATCAATTACATTTGGATAACAGTAACAGCGCGTCGCAACAAGAAACCGAACAGCAGCAGCAACAACGCTCCAGCAAGCGCAGCCCCAGCATGATATTCCGCATTGAACACCTACTACCTAGCACCAGCCAAGTTTCAGCCGGCATCGCGCCCACAACAACCTCCAGCTTAATGGGCGGCACACAGGCACCAACTCTTACCACCAGCAGTACTCCAACGACGGCAACGACATCTACGGCAAAGCGCCCTAAGCTGCGTAACTCCTGTAACGGTGTGCTTCTGTCGCAATTCACACCTAAGGATACTCTCTCCGAGTCCATACCGACCTATGCGCTAATGGGTGTTGGCCACCAGTCGTATGCGGAGCAGAGTAAGAATGCATACTGTACGCTATCTGAGCACGTGTTGTGTATGAGTCCCGAACTATTACGTCGTATCAAGCTCTCTGAAGATATACACAGTTATAATGCGCTGTTTGAACTTCAGCCTGGCGGTATGGTGCACGTGCGCATCGTGCGCGATGTGGCGCGTGATGAGGAGCTCGTGGCATGGTTTGGCGAGGAGATATCACTTTTGATGTCCATACCATTTCTTACGCCACTGAATATACAAGGTGAGTCTTTCCTCGGCACAAAATATTTTTTGATGGAATATTTGGCTCAATACATTTTTCAAACAACGATCTTTTTTATAACGCTTCCTCTTTTTTGTTCGTTTCTTATAGGCAACAAACGCTACACCTGTCACATCTGCCAGCTTATCTTTGAAACACCAAACCCACTAAAGATCCACTTAGCACTCGGTTGTGGTCGTCACTCGATGGATATACTCTGGATACGCCTACACTATGCACTGAAAGCCACGAGCTATACACAACAGCAGCGCCAGCTACTCGCGGCTACAGCAACATTAGCAAGCACACAAGTTCCGCTCACCACAGCGCAGCATTCGCCAACAGCCGCACCTTCGAACACCTCATCCATTTCGCCTGCTTCGTCACCACAACCGGCTACTTTTACTCAGCAAACTCCTCCACCACAACAACATCACCAATACCTGCGGCAAGTACAACGTTTCTCCGCCTTTAAACCCGTCTCACCATCAATTGCTTTCACCGCCGCCGTAACGACGAGCTCCTATAGCAATCCAAACGCACCCACCAGCAGCAGCGTGGTTGCAGCACCAAGTACAGCACTATCCTATCTACCACCGTTGGCCTCCGTTAGTGGCGCTTTACCACATATGCGTCTTCTACAATCAGGCGTCGGGTTAGGCATACCTTCCGCGAACTCGCTCAATGCAGCGGCACAAATCGAGGCGATCGTTAGTAATATGGGCGCATCGAAACAGGGTCACCTGTGCATCTATTGCGGTAAGGTTTATTCACGAAAGTATGGCCTTAAAATACACATACGCACACATACCGGCTTCAAACCTCTCAAGTGTAAGTTCTGTTTGCGTCCATTCGGTGATCCCAGCAATTTGAATAAACATGTTCGCCTGCATTTGCAATCGAATGTGAGCAATGCATCGGTGGAGGGTTACAAGTGCACGTTGTGTAACAAAACTTTGGCGAGAAGACGAGATCTTCAGCGTCATATAGAGTCGCGACATTCGGGTGATGGAGGCAGCGCGTGATATAGGACTTTTGGAGTCGGGCAGGGGAGTTGGCTTAAGAAGTCGATTAAACATGTGATATTAGAAATAAGTTATTTAAAATATTTAAGTATTGAAATATACTCGGATCTAAGTAAAAGTGCGTGCTTTTGATTATTAGGTGGCTTTGAATTAGAGAGAGTTTTATTTTTAATGATGTTATCATTTTGAATTTCTATTATAGCACGAATCGGCAGAAATGCTCCAAATATTTTCTCTTAAAGTTTGAATGGTCTTTAAAAATTTCGAAAAAGATCTATTGTTTACTCTTTATTCTTCCATCTATTTTAACTCTTTTCTGCAAACGGCCAGAAAGAATTGGTTTAGGTCAAGTTGAGAGTATAAATGGGAGTCAGTGTCAGATGCTCTAATACTCCAAAACTCACGTGTTGGTCCAAAGATCTTATTGTTTTGGAATCTGATTAATAAGCTGAAACCCGTTATTTCGATTACCGGATCAAAAATTTCTGTCGAATTTGTTTTTTTTTTTCAAAGATTGAGGTGTAGGTTTAGAGCCGCCCGAGGCTTAATACAGTGGTTTGACTACTCCTTAAACTTCTATTTGACAATATGTCCGAATTTTCTCTAAATGTAATACTTTTCATTTGCCATTGCTACAACAATGATTTCGCAAAATAAAGTATTTATCTAGATTATCTGAGCGCCGTATTTATCTTCGGCAGGTAGAGATAGATAGAAACTGTATATCAAGTTGTTGACGAATTCTAGTTGCAGAACAATACTACTTGAACTCGAATGCCTTCCTAATTTCATTAGTAATTCGGTTGACTTGTTCCACAATACCATGTTTTTCACGAAACCAGAACTGGTGTGCTGATATCCCTTTCTTACGGTGGAGAGACGGATATATCACAGATATCAAGTTCTTTCATATAAGTTAGAAAGATGGAGTTGTATGATTATTAGTCTGTAGGAAGACGCCTTTGTATGGTCTTTACCTGATTTGACTATCATATTGGAAAGTAAATTAGTCTCAAAATAGCCTTAAAGAGTTCAAAGAGTAGCGAGAGTTTATCTCTTGGTAGATCTTTGAGAGTTTTTCGTGTAAAAAGGTTATAGCGTGGACATCTTTGGCTGCAATTCGCTGAAACACATTTACAACTTTCAGGGTTTTAAGGTCGTTCTCAGTCAATACCGACTACATGAAATTATGATGTAAGCTAGACCAGCTTGCTTAAATGTTTTGAAGAATAGTTTGCCTTTTCCTTCTTACGACGCATCCTGCCATTAGTGTTTTTGATTTCAACAGGAGGCTTAAGGCTCGTTTGTGTCATCCAAAGTAATCTGCTTGTTTCAGATTTTCGGTACTTTGAGTCAATTGGTAATTATCGTTTTTGGGCTCTTTATTATATTTTTCTCTTTGGCGTGGCTAAATTTGTCGCAGAGGCGAGTATGTTTTGTTTAGTGTGCAACTTATTCTTAGTTCTTGGTCAACTCTTAACGTAGATTTTTATTAAAAGTGATGAATGGTCCCAGAATAAGTCAGCAACCGTCATAGCTGATCTAAGTTATCGGTCGACTTTCTGAAAACAGTGAAGTCGGGTATTTTCTGCCAATTAGTAGGTCAATTTGTTGGTTCAGTATAAACCCTCTTTGGGCTTACTAGTTGAAACCACGACATGTAATTTTTGGATTTTTTTCTTTTGAACTTATTTTTTTTGTATAAAAGTACATAAACTGCCAGATTGCATAAAGAATATGATTGTCTATTCGAATCTGTTGAATCAAATGGCATTTTTCTTGTAAAGCCTAACAGTCTATCGATAGACGAAGATGGTACGGATGAAACTTTCCGATTTCAGGCGCAAAAAATGCTCATTTGAGTAACAACTCTCTTTTAAAGAAAAGACATGGTACATATGTTTGTTAATTGAATTTTATTTTATTAATAGTAATATGTATGAAGGTATGTAATTTACATTATTTTTTATTAATAATCTAATACAAATTCCACATTAATTTTATAGTTAGGTAATAATATCGCCTTGTATATTGTGTATTTTTTCTCTTTTTCTTCTTCTTCTTTTCGAACATATGTATGTACGTAAGTATGTATAACCATTTTTAGTTTAATACTTTTAAACCAATTTTTTTCTCTCCCAAGCTTCACCGCCTTTTTTCGTGTAACGACGAACAAAAAATGAAAAATTTAACAAATATAAAATAAGTTGAACTAAAAAAGAATATATTTTTAGAAAAAATACTATCACACATTTTTTTTATTTTGATTAATTTTTTAATACACTTTCAATAATTTTTTTATCATTTTTTTTTTTATTTTTAAATACTTGAAATCATCGCTTCGGACAAATTGTGAATCTTTATTTTGAATTGCTATATTTATTTATGTGTGTACATATGTGTGTGGCTGCTTGCAGAGCAGTATACTTTCGGCACCCACATATGTAAATGTACGTATGTAATTCTCTTTTGCCAAATGCCTGTAACTTATATTCTACACAAACAAATACTATTGCGTTGTAAGTTTTTATGTATTTACTTAATTAATTAAGTAATCTGTTAGGTAGTTTTTTTATATATATTCATTTATATATATATATGTTTTCTTTCCGCTTTAACCAATTTGATATTTATTTTATTTATTTTATTTCTTTTTTATATAAATAGTGAGTAGAGTTTCAACGAATATTGAGCAAAAATATTTGAAACACTGAGATTTAGAAGTTTGTATACACACATGCCTATATAATAGTATTTGTAAAGTTACTCTGCATATCAGTTAATTGATGGGAAATTTTTTTTATTTTTTAGTTTAAATTTTTTTTTATTTATTTTTTTTTTGTTATTAAAAACAAATTATAATTATTTATACTACAACTTACTTTTAGTTTTAGACTTTATTTTATTTTATTTTATTTTATTATACTTTTTCAGTGTTTACTATTTTTTTGTTTTGTTTGTGACTTATTCTGAATTTCCAGCCGCTTAGCAAAAATTATATAATATAAGAATCATTTTTTCATTATAATAATATTTTTTTTTGTTTTTTTTTTTTTTATGAAGAGCTTTTAGTAGACGGTAGTTTAGCATTTCAGCTGTATGTCCGAGTAACTGTTGTGTTATGTTATTTATATGTAATCTGTTTTTGTATACATAGAGCTGTGAATGTATGTACGTATGTATTTATGTATGGCTGTATGTATGTGTAAGTATTGTAGTATATTATATATTTATAGGAAATTGAAATTTAGATTGCGGTTTTTATATTGCAGAATAAGGCACTTCATCCAGAAAATTTGTTCATACACATATAAATACAATACGTGTATGAATTTATAAATATGTATATACTTTTTCATAAAGGTGCATGTTGTCATGTAGTTATGCTAATATTTCCCGTATATGTACTATTTTAATTAAACAATAATAAGAAATGTGGAGATAGACTTCTATAAAAGTTCTTTCTTATGGGCAGAAAGCTAGAGACAACCCTAGAAGTTGAAAAGTTTTCGTTTCATAAAACTGTTGGGAAAAATATAAAATTATCAACTCCAAAGCCGTTTTTGGTTAATCGATTTAAATGAGTTCTAGTAAAAAGTAATCCATTATTTTTGCGCGTTCTAGTAAAAAGTAATCCATTATTTAAGTGCGTTTGGATTACGCTAGATGGCCTTAAAAAGATGGTACTAATTAAGTACTGAGCGCATGACAAAGACGGACACCAGCAATGAGTAAATACGCCGTAGTCTGCCCCTGACACAACTTAGGTCTGGATATTGTAGCAGGTTAAACTCCTACCTATCCAGACTAGACCCCAGCATACCTAACGTATGCCCGGCATGTGGAGAGTCCCCGCACGACACTAACCACCTCTTCACATGCCCCCTCAAACCTACTCATCTAACACCCCTCTCCCTTTGGTCCAACCCCGTCGAAACAGCTCGTTTTCTGGGCCTACCTTTAGATGACCTCGACGACTTAGACTAATTCAAGCCTGTGCCTAAGCGGGGTTAGCGAATCCGCTACAACAACAACAACAACAGCCGTAGTCTGCAATTTTTCTTCGATTACGGCGAAAATGCAAATCAGACAGCTGAAAAAGTGAATAATATATTTGGTCCTGATACTGATCCCCTACAGTCAAACCCTCAACTCGGATCTGTACTGTCAGCGATTGAACCGTGTGAAGGAAGCAATCCCCCAGAATCGCAAAGCTTTGGCCAACAGATGTCACACACACCAATGGTGATTCGCCAGCAGCTCAATGGGCTGGGTTGGGAGATTCCTATGTATCCACCTTATAGTCCAGACCTTGCACGAAGAGATTACCATCTGTTCCTGTCTTGGCGAACAATTTGTCTTTCGAAGAATTGGCTTTAAACGAAGCCTGTGGAATTCGATTGTCAACAGGGACAAGGGCTTCTATGACATGTTTGACATAAATCGGATAATGCTAACCATTGTAAATGAAGCACTCAATTTAATGCAAAAATAATGGATTACAAGAATACTAGCACAAATACCGGAATCCAAGACCCAAAATATTCGAATCTAATCCAAAAAGTTCATTTCTGTAAAAGTCTAATAAGGGATTTCAGAGCAGTAGCTTTTCCTCAAGAAATTTTATTTGTGGAAGAGTCTCAAAATACCCCGATATCCAAGAGTTAAAAAGTCTCTTCAAATAACATCAAAATTGTTCAATTCTAAAGGTCCCAGGTATGACGGAAATACGAATTTTCCATGCTTCGAGCGAAATTCATTTAAATGAAGTGAGTGAGTTTTTTGTTTTTCCTTCGGGTGCTTTAATCACCAACCTATTGGTGCATATCCCGCAGAGATCAACCGGACAGTTTGGCTTCTTTGATTACACTCCGATGCTTTGCTTTTGATGGATTTTCATTGATCAGTGACCATAAATATGTGAGTTGAGACACCGTAAGAAATACTTTGAAATATTCAGGAAATCGACCGATTAAGGAACGGCGGCATCATCGTGTTTA